TAGCTACTCAGGAGGCTGAGGTGGGATGAGCACAAGTTTGAGCTCAGCTTGGGCAACTAGCTTATTGAGACCCTGACTCAAAATATAATAATAAAATAACAGTTTGGGGATAGAAATCAAGGCTCACTGGGTTCAATTTCAAATACCGCAAAAAAAAAAAAAAAAAAAAGAGGGAAAAGAAAGAAAGAACAAAGAAAAAGAATGAAGGAGAGAAGGAAGGAGGGAAGGGAGAAAGAGAAAAGGATACATCGGAGAGCAGAGAGCTTGTAATACTGGTCCTAGGATTCTATGCCATTACCACTCAAAGAAAGCCCTTTCATATCCCTAAGCCCTGGCTCCGCTGCAACCCCAGGGTTCCCCAAGAAAGGCCCCACCCACATGCCCACTCTATGTACATTTCCTCCACTGAAGTCATTTGACAAAATAGTGGTTGATTACAGGCAAGCTGAGGTAAATGCTTCAATCCTTTTATTTCATTAAACGGCCTCATTTTTTGTTCTGGATCATACATTAACAGTTATAGTAGAATCTCAGAAATGAAAAGACCTCAAAGAGCACTCTACATGAACAAGTTTTGCTGGAGGAATCAGCAGAGGCCGGGTAGTTAGTCAGTAGGTGCCAGCTCCTTTTCCATCTGTTGAACACCAGCACCAGTGACCTCTGCCCTAAATAAAACTTTGTACCAAAAATGTACTGCATTTTATTGATTTGTATTTCAGTCATTGGTTTCATTTTAAGAATTAACACAACTTCTTTTTCCTAGTTTGCTAAATAGGACCTCCTAGAAAATAGACCTACACTGCCTTTCCATTCATCAGGTTAATGAATAATGTAGCTGGCTCCCTTTCCACACAAGCCTCTGCAGACTCTCTGTGTGTCTAACTCATTCTCCCTGTTTTCTAAACTATCAGTACTTCTAGAGGTTGATGAAGAAACATCAAAAAAGGGATTTATTTTGAGAATGCATTGTGAAAGAGAATGGGAAAAAGGAAGACCAAAACAGAAAGATGAAATTTGGGAGAAACTTAAAGCTATCAAAAAAAGTGCTGTGGGGTTTTTAAAAATGGTATTGTGGGGGGAAATTTCAAAAGTATTTTTTCTACTAGTTTTCTATCAAAAGTCATTGCTATTTTAGCACTCAGGAGGCTGAAGCAGAAGTATTGTAAATTTAAAGCCAACCTGGGTTATACAATGAGACCCTGTCTCAATAAAAGAAAGAAAGAAATAAGTCACTGCTATTTTAAGACATAAAATACATAATCTGGCAACCCAAGTTTCTTTTTTTTTAATATGTGGAGATTTTCCTGATAGGCAGAGGTCTGTGTGTGTGTGTGTGTGTGTGTGTGTGTGTGTGTGTGTATGTGTTATTTGGGGGGGTTTTGTTCTGTTTTATTTTGTTTTTATGTTTTTGTTTGTTGGCTCATGCTCCTTTCTAGAGTCATGTCTGTTATCTTTGTTTTGGTATCTTTAACCTTCAAGTCAAATGGTGACAGTTCCTTGGTTTCCCACTGAGGAGCAGTAGAGCATGAAGTCCGTGAGATGGACAGGCTGTGGTCCCAGATGGGGGACATTTCTGATTCACGCAGCCAAAGAACCAAAGGAAATGTCAGAGTCTTCAGCTGGCACCACCCTCAGCTCCACATCCTCCAAATCCAGGCCTCCGCAGCTTCTAAAAAGTTGGTTGTGGTTGTTTCCACAAAGCCAGGTCACTGTACCTACTCTTCACATGGGTCTTTCTCCCACCCTCATCCCTAGAGAAATGAGATCAGCATCAACCACTAGGCCCAAGAAAATGTTAAGAAACCTTCTTGGAAAGTCTTACGAGCTAGAAAGACAGGGAGTAAAGCGGAGTGAACTGGGCTCACATGAACACGTGGGCACCATCCCTGAGCTGCTGTTTCATAATTGTCTTCACAGTTACTTTTTTAACTGCTGAGACAAAATGCCTCACACCCAACATTATAGGAGCAAAGGTTTGTTTAGCTCACAATTTGTAGAGGTTTCAGTCCATAATAGTTGAGCTCCAAGGCAAGAAGACAGGCATCACCAAGGAGAAGCAGTTCATGGCGGGCAGAGGTGGTAAAGCAACAAGGGACAACCATGGCTACTTATATCCCTTATATTTTATCCAGGCTACACTGGATGGAAAACTCACACTTGTAATCCTAGTTCACTTGATTCTAGCATTTCACCATAAATCAATCCCAGTGTCATACATTGTGGATCCAGCCACATCTGAAAAAGCCTTACCCATGATCACGTGAGGCTTTGGAGGGACATCTAGACACAATCCATAACAGCAGTCTTGAGTTCCCAAGAGTTGCTGACATCCCAAAGCACCCATCTGTCTCCTCGTGGTGAAGTGAGGAAGGTGGCAAGGAGTGTTCCCACAGTTGTGAGGTTTTTCATAAGAGGAGATGGTACAAAAGAAGACTTGTAGGTCATAGAGTGTTACCCTTATTTCTATTAAAGCTCAACCATGTAAACTAGAAATCAAGTGATTTGCCATACTTGCTTTTTATGATACATGAACAGACATGAGTCAATAATTTTCATTCTGGAGTCCATGAGATTTTAACACTAAGAGAATAAATTTATCAATATGGAGCACAGCAAACAAGCAAGCTTGCTCGTGACATGGAGATTCTTCCGCTGGGAAAGTTCCCACAAGGACCTCAACCCTGTGGTACGTATGTGGGAATAGAAATCACTTACATGTATCCTGTACTTTACTTTAACAAATATGGTTGATGACATCGTTCTCAAGAGCCCACTGTAACCAGGGCCTCAGCATTCATATCTGATAAGCAATTGTTTAAATCAGCTTTTTGATACCAATGTGGTTGAATTTTCAAATATGAAAGTCCTGTGCAATTCTCCATGATATTTCAATCTGCTCAGGATGGACAGATGGAAAAACTATATTCGTTAGCTTTGCTCCTTTTTCTATTAGCCAGCAACAGCAAGGGTCCTCTGGTTAACAACAGCCTTAAAACATTGAAAGTACTGTGCATCTGAAGGAGTTAATTTCGTAACTGTGATCTCTTCCCAGTGAAGAAGGAGTCACATGTGACCGGCAAGGTCAAGGGTAAGCTTTTGTATTTCCTCCCCAGGCCCTGGAGTCACTCTGTACTTGAACCTCTGACTCCCTGGCTTTCTTGGTCCTGCCTGTTATTCTACTGCTCTTGCTTCTCCACTTCTTTCCCTCAAGACAGAATTACTAAGGTTCTCTATCTCTAGTCCAACACTTTGGTACACTGATACCCACAGTAACTGTAAAGCAGGTGGCAGGACCAGGGTTTTCAAGATGGGAAACCTGAGAGTTTTAGTGGCTTGTTCAAGATGGGGATTTGGACTTGAGGCTTCTGGCTTGTCAGCCAGGGATTCTGTAACCTTCAGCTGGAACAGATATTTTGGGTGTGCATTTACATGGGATGCTCCATAAAGCTGGCAAGATAAGATCCACAGTCTTGGGTCAATTCCCAAAGTACCTTTCCCTAGAAATGATAACAGCTCTGAGGTTTTGGCCTAGATCCCAAAAGAAGTGGTGGGATGGGAGGAAGTGGGAAATGATGGGGTTTTCAGGCTATCAGAACAGCATCAAAAAACAACTACTGTGTGACTCTAATCCAGAGACCGGACTCTGACGCACGAGTATGTCATTTCTCTTAAATCTCTGTCGGAAATGAGAGATACAAGAACTGAGATGGAATGTAAACTATTTCTCAAGGAAGTATGCTAGCTCTCTTCTTTTAAGAGCTGCCCTCTGGAGGAAAGTTAGACTTGCTTTTTCTCCCTGACTCTTAACTCTGGTTATGCAGGCCATCTGCTAAAAAGAAAAAAAGAGAAAGAAGGAGGATGTGTATCTGCATGTAGGAGTCAGGCATAGGATCTGGCTGAAGTAGCATCACTTCCAAGCCCAGGGAAGGTCCTTTATCGAGGTGAATTTCATCCAGTTCTCCTGTGACTTCCCTGACAGCCCACTCCCCGTGCCAAACTTCCACGTACACCTCCTTCTAGCTGACCCCATCAACCCAGCACATACAACCCCTTCCTTCCTTACCGTCATCACTCACCCATACTCAAACCATGCAAGATGTCCCCAGTGCCAGGACATGGAATATGAGAGCATAGTTTTCAATTTCATAATCCATTCGGACAGTAAAACACATGAGCTAGACAGTGAGGACGGGTCAGTGACACAGAGAACAAGCTGCTAACAAGGCTCAGGCACAACCGACTGTGATCAGAAGCAGAGACCCTGAGAGGTGGAAGAGGCTCTGGAGAGCACAGAGGGCTATTTTCCCTTCCTGATGGGAATCGGCTCTCACATCTGGAAATGCATGTTCACTTGGTGATAGGTAGAAACAGGAGATGGACGTGGGCCCTTCACAGTTGGGTGGTGAAGGGCAGAGGTCCGTTATTCCAAGATTGTGCTCCAGTTCCGGAAACACCAGAACTTATCAAAGCCTCCCTTGTTGTCCCAGAGTCTACCCTGGAAAACAAGTTTTGTTTTTTGTTTTCATCTTTTTGTAAGGAAAGGGAGGATTTTTGCTTGGCCACATACATCCTGACTTCCTCATCTGAAACCGGAGGCTTCTTAGTGCTGATGAGCATTGAAGGGATGTGAGGAGAAGACACTAAGTGTGTGGCTGGCCCATCACAGCGACCCCCCGAAACATCTGGGTACCGCCTTACTCTTCACTCTTGCCTTCCCCTATAAAGCCTGTCCTTCTTTACTCAACTTTTCCTCTCTGTCCTTTGGCAGAAATCCTAGGAAACAGTTATTCATTGCAAATAAAATGTTGCAAGTGGCCGGAAAGATGGCAGAGCACAGAGGAAAGAGCTAAGCACAGGCTGTGGAAGATTGTGTGGCAGGCACCTCTGCCGTCCCAGCAGAGGGGAGAGCTGGCAGCCACAGTGGGTGTCTGTCCCACCTCCATCCTCCGTGCTGAGTGAGTGGCTGGAGTCTGACGACTCAGGCACACAGAAGTTCTTACCTGGAGTGGCAGAGCGGCTGGTGGGGCTGGGCAGCTCCTGCTGATCTGAATGACTGGGCAGTACCTGTAGAGCTGTGCCCTTGTCGCACTTACTATGGTACCTGGCTCCTCTCCATAGCTTTCTGGGAGTCTCTGAAAGGTTGCTGCTTCTCCTCTCTGCAAGGCCCTGTGGCTCCTGTCAGCAGCAGGGGCCAGGGGGGCCTGTGGACTTGGACACCCCATGCCATTCCTAGACAGGTGATCCAAGCTCCACAGGTCCTGGGGCGCAGAGAGGACTGGCCAGTGCTTCCAGCCCATGGAGGGAGTGCTGCTTCCATGGCTCATGACAGCAGCTGGTTTAGGGAGCCCACATGACAGTCCAAGTTTCCTTGAGGCAGGGACCAGGCAATGCCCACAGTGTGGGGATCTGTAGGCACCACCCCCTTTTACATTCTGGTGCTGGGATTTCTCCTCTCTCTTCTTCTCCTTTGGTGAAGAGCAACGGAGAGCCGCTGGCTCCTCTTCATGCAGCAGGCTCCAAGAGGGAGCAGCTAAGCCCTGTGTGTGCTCGAGGTCCCAGCCTTCCAAGAAGCCTGTCCCGGCACTTGGGAAAATGTGTCCCTCCTCCAGGCCTCCTGGGACTGCCCTGGAGGCTGCAGCGGCTGGAGACTGGGCGGGGAGAGCTCGGGCAGGGGGGGCCTGCAGCTGGATGCGGAGGAAGGAAGTTTTCAGCTGCTGTTGCCTAGGCTGCTTAGCCATTTCCTCCAAGGGGTAGGGCTGGTCCCTGGCAGGGTCCAGTTTCAGACCTCAGTGCCCAGGGAGGCAAAGCGCAGCAGCTGTGGGCAGACGTGACTCAGCTCCATGGTTCCCCAGACAGCCCGGGGAGGTGAGCAACACACCTTCCACACCCTGGGGTGTCTCCAGGGAGAGCTCCTGGGGCTGATGTGGGCTTGGGACTGTACTTTGCTCACTTCGCAGAATCACAGAAGCACGCAGATGGACCGAGAAGCATCTGTAAGAGAGGGTGGGAGAAGGGCAGTCAAGTCTTGGCCGCTCTCACCTGTGAGGAGTGAGATAGAATTACTTTGCCTTAACTACGCCTTTCCTCATTCTTGTAAGGAAAGTACTACTCCTGTAGCCCTCGTTTGGCATTAACTCTATCAATGACTTGGTGTCTGACCTGCGAGACACTATGTCCTTTAGAAATGAAGCCTCCCCTATACTTTGAAGTGGATTTTAATCTACTCTGTATTATTTTCCCTATTTTGAAGACCTCGCTGATAAAAAGCATAAGCATTTTAAACTATTGTAATGTTTTTATGGAGCTCCAGTTTGAAGACCATGGTAGTTCAGGAGTCCTCCAGGAAGGGTCCTCCAGTCCCAGGGTGAAATGTTGTCTTTGGGCCTGTGGTTTGAACAGGTCCCCTTCAAAACGCAGGTGGTGCCAATGTAGTGGTATTAAGAAGTGGGGTCCTTGGACAGTGGTTGGGAGGGCTCCTCCCCTTGGGAGTGGGATCAGGACTCTTCTGAAGGAGGCTTCCTGCCTCATTCAATGCCTGTCCCTCTGTGTGCATGCAGCAAGACCCTGCCCAGTGTTGGTGTCTTGGCCTTGGCCTTCACCCTCCAGAACTGTGAGAAATAAATCTCCATACTTTATAAATGATCCAGTCTGTATTTGTTATAGTAGCACAAAAAAGACTAAGACCCTTGGCATCACCAAAAAAAGAAATAATACAGATGAAAAAGAAAGAAGAGAAATGGAATACATAAAAATGCATACAGGTTAATGCATTAGGCTGAAGGGATTTTAAAAAATAACATAGCTTTTTTTTTTTGCTTGAGAGAACAAAAGCATTCCTTTGCTTTTAAAAAATGGGAGCTATTTCTTTCTAGCACAGTATAGCAGGCATTAAAAACTATAGGGGAATAAAAACACAAGATCGGGGAGCCGAAGGAACTCACCTGCATACTCAGTTGAGTAACTCACATTCAGAGGATTTCCGTGGCTCAGTGCCTCTCATGGTGGATGAAGAGCTTAATGTTGACCTTATTCTGGAGGAGGACAGAAGGCAGGAGTGAGGAAGCTCTTGTCTTTATCAATTTGAAATATCTTGGCTAAAAGACAACAAGGACCTTGTCCTCCGAGACACTGCCATCACGCGGTCCAGAAAGTTCCTTCCCCTTGGCACACCTTGTAAAGAGCCCGAGCTATTTCTCCGTCCATCCCTCCTCACCATTCTGGATCCCAGGCAGCAACTGAGCCATCCAAGGTGTCCCTGGCTACCACTGCGGGCCAGCCGAGCCTTTGGACATGCTCAGGGTGGTTGACTGTGGCCCTAAGTCAGTTTTCCTTTTGTAAATGTTTTCACATAGTTTTTTCCTTCAAGGTTTTACCCTGACCCTCACAGGCTAAGGGTGGCCACTATGACAATCATAACAAACACAGGAGGAAACATAGCAGAACAAATTACGTCCAAGCTTAACTGCATGTTGATAGATTATAGACATTTTCATCACTATGTAAGTGATATCAGGTCTTCTTTATGTCAGGGTCACTCACATCTTTTTAATGCAATTATCACACCATCCTATAAAACAACTTACTTTTATACTGTAATTACTCAACAAATACTAGTTTGTTGATAAGTGAACTGCCAAAAAAATGAGAAGGGCTGTGTTTTGGGTGAGAAGGAATCATTTTGTTTCAGATTCTAGAGGTCCCAAACATTGTACCAGGTACTTTAGATAGCATGTTCCAGTGACAGGCACCATGCTCTGACTCTAGTAGTGTGTTACTGTCAAGGAGCTCAGAGAAGTGCGCTAATTGCTTGATGCCTATTTTTTTTTTAAGCAAAAAGCCATAAAGGAATTTATTAGGCAGAATTTTGAAAGTATACACTAAAGATATAGTGCTGGGCCACTTATGAAAGGGGTACTCTGGCTAGGAAGTGGGGATATTTTTGTGGGTTGGGGGCTAAAAATTTGCTGAATTTGTGAATTTATAGAAAGTCTGGGCTTGGTTTGCAGGAAAAAATTATTGACCCATCCACAGGTTGAAAGGCAATGGCTCACTACAGGTGAAAGGCACAGGCCTAGTCTATTGGTTGCTATTTTTTTTTTTTAAAGGTGGGTGCTGTGGAATGCTTTGTCTAAAAATATCCTTTGAATCTGTTTGAAATCTTTAAATCTGTTTCTTTCTCTTTTGAGGATAATGGGCTCAGATAGGCCAGGGCACTAAAAACTATCTCAGGGGAGAAATTTCTCTTCAACTCCTTTGTGTCTTTCTAACTGAAGTTCAGTTGTTCAGCTTCCAAATAAAAGAAAGTACTGAAAACACCAAGGGGTGGTACTGGTGTATCCAGCACCTTTTTCTTTTTTCTTTTTCTTTTTATTCACAAGCTTATCTTAGGGATGATTATTGCCAAAGAGTTCATTTCTAGATTGTGTGGGCTGGAATAGGAGAAGTGCAAAACAGAGGTGGACAACACCAGAATGTGGACAGGAGGGCTGACTCAGAGGACACCTGTAAGATACCTCTTCGAGACACCTTTAAACAGTAGGAGACATGAAAGGGTTTGAGTTTTTATAAGTAGTGGTAAGTGCCGGAGAACATGGGTTACTACTGCAGTGTAAATAGTACAGTGACTAAAACCAAGCAATTCATTACCAGATAGTACTGAGTTCTACTAACACTGGGTGGCTGTGTGACCATGGCCAAGTTACTTAACCTTCCTAAGAATTAGTTTTTCCTAAGATTCGGAAGCAATACCTACTTCACAGGTGAGTCATGAGGTTTAAGCGGAAGTGTATGTAAAAAGCTTATGTAACATGATACTGCATTTGGCACAATATAGATTCTCAATATATTAGCTATTCTTAGAATTTGTACTCGCACATTTTTGAGGCCTTAGGAAAATTGGTTTGCTCAGCAGAACAGCAGGAGTTGTTTCATGAAACACTCATGCAAAATGCACATGAGATATGATCAAAATACACAGAGAATAAATATTTAATAATTGTGACAATAATAAACAATAGACACCTTGCCATTAATATGCATCAGAATATTCCACTTTGTTTCAAAGACGTTTGTGCCACTGTTCCTGCCACTTCCTGAAGGAGCTCTGGAAGTCTTTTGAGATTGTCTGGGGTGAATATTGCTGTTTGGTGCCTTCTCCCCAAAAGGCAAGTTTATAAAAATACTGTGCTGTGTCCTCATCTACTATAGTCATTGGGCCTGGCATTGTATGACTTCTGGTTTTCCCCAAAGTCAAAATGACCGTGAAAAGTAAGCATTTTGAACTTACTCAGAACATCAGCGAAGCCACAATAGCACAACTAATGATACTCACGAAAGAGAACTTCCAGAGCTGCTTCAGAAAGTGGTAAGGACGATGGGAAAAGTGTGTTCAAAGCAAAGGGAAATAGTTCAAGGCGGACTAATGATAATGTGCCTTTTACTGTAATACATTTTTAAAAACTATTCACTGTAGTTTTCAATCATATATATACAGTATTTTTTCCCTCTGCAGTGGGTATATGCATGTATTTATGCTTTGGGTGAAGGGTAAACATCTGAAAGCTGAGGAATTAACTGGAATGTGGGAGTATTAGCAACAGAAGTGGGATCAGAAGACTTGAACTTGCATGCTAGAGCAAACATCTTATTAAATGTGACTCACAGAAGTTCTCTGAACCTTAGTGACTTACCTGTAAATATACTAAATAAATTTCTACTGTTCTTACTTAACAGAATTGTTTTGCAGATCAAGGAGTATAATCTGTGTAGCAGCACTTTGTAAATGCAAATTTACATTGTGATAGTATTGTATAACAATTATACGAACAATCATTCTTAACTAAATCATTGTCTGATTTCTCTTAAGACTCAAAGCTCTGGGGTTGGGAATATAGCTCAGTGGCATAGTGACTGCCTAGTAAGCATGAGGTTCGATTCGCTGGTACCGAAAGAAAAAGGAAAAAGATTCAAGGTTTCTCACTCTGAAAGATTTCCAAGTTTACTTCCTGTTTTTCTGCCACAACTTCATTATGTATTAACTTGTTATGGTTAATGCATCAAACAGCTAATATAAAGTGTAATCCACTTCTGCTCATGATGACTTCTCACGATTTCCAGAGAGATAAAGAACATTCTAGAATCTAGAGTGGAGAAGCATGGGCACTCTGGACATGCATCAGAGCATTCTCTTCTCTTACCCCCACCTTGTGAGAGCCTTAGGAACACCTCTTCCTTTTGGAAATGCAGAAAGAAGGAGAGAGATGGAGTGAATTGCTTTAAGCTACACAGAGAGGTCAGTGGTTGATGTGCCTGTTCTTCCTATCTTTGATTCAGGTACCTAGGAAGGCTCCTCACACCCACTGTCTACGTGGGAACTTTATCTTCTCTAAGTTGTTCCCCTAACATTTCTAAGAGTTTCCTTGATTCAAACTAGTATGAAAATAGTATCTTACCAGGACATGGTGCTCAAATTGAAGGAAATAAATTCTCCTCAACATGTGGTTGTTCTGGGGAGGGCTTAGTCCCAGGAAATCCCAAGGATTTTGGAAATACTCCACTGAGTCAGAGTCACATTCCAGGTCCTCGTTCCTGCCCATTCTCTCACTACCCGAAGCTGCACTGAGGGCCCTGTGAAGCTACTGGGTCCAGTTCAGTCGTGACAGATTGGGCACTCACAGTTGGAGAGGATGAAATGGAAATAATAACTACAGCTCTCAAA